TTATTTTGGTCAGGCCTAAAATAATAATATATTGAAGAACAGAATAGTGTAAGAACAGTACCTGGCATATAACTCCTACATAAATACCATTAGCTATTGCTTTATATCTAAGAGTCTGTAATATTTGGGTATAGGGTAAAGTGGAAAAGATGAGTCTTTACCTTAATAAAATTTTACCAAAGCCTAAAAGTAGTTTCCAGCCCAAGAATCCAATTCATAAATGATGGCATCTTGAACCCAGTCTGATTTTGTACCCAAGGCTAATTTCTCTGTAATAAGATAACATCAAGATTTATTAACATAAATTTAGATCAGAATGTCTCAACTGGGGGTAATTTTGGCTACCAGTAGACACTGGCAATGCCTGGAGATAATTTTTGGTTGTCACAACCTCTTGTCTTCAAGAAGTTTACAAACTAGTTGGAACAATAAGACAATAGAAGAAAAGGCAAATAATAACAAAGACTTTTCCATCCCAAGCAAAGTTCATCACCCATGGCACAACTGACATTTAAAGAGGATAATCCTTGTATTGGGGCTATCCTGTAGGCTGTAGGATGCTTAGCAGCAGACCTACCCTCTACCAATTAATGCCAGAAGCACTTAGTTCCAAATGCCAGAGAAGGTTCACCAAATTGTCACTACAGGGTAGTGGTGGAGGGCACTCCAGGTATCTAGTGTGTAGAGGCCAGGGATATTGCTCAGCACCCCACAACAGTTACATGTCCCAAAATGTCAATAGTGCTAAGGTTGAAAAACACTACCTTAGGGGTTTCTTTACTATCAGCCAGGAAAATGACGACCAAAGTATGCCAACAAACACTTCTCCCTCCTCTAGCATCACCTATTCTAGCTGCCCTCTCTACCTTGTCTGGATCCCTTGCCACTCCAGGGAAAAATGCTGAGCTGTCTTTTCCTTCCCCTGTTGGACTCTCAGACAACAGTGTGTTCATGCTACATGAAAGAGGAAACAAGTATAAAGAATGACGTAGCCAGAAAGTGCAATGAAAAAAGCAACATGGCTTTTGTTTTTTCATCCAAAGTAAGCATGATTTTAATGGCCACTACCTACCACTCAGGCTCTGAATGAGAATCCACTACTCACTATTATCTTTATAGGCCTGCTCATTAGTGATTCAGACCAACATAATTTCCTCCAAGATAGTGGTAATTTTACCCCTGACAGTCCCCCTGGCTATTCCACGAGGCCGAGGTTCATTTTAGGAGATTTTAAAAGAAAGAAAATTTTACAAAGAACATGTTTAAAAGATGTTAAATCTGCTGAGTGTTTGTTGGCATACTTTGGTCGTCATTTTCCTGGTGGAACAAATGTGTAATCCCAGAGATTCAGGAGGCTAAGGCAGGCGGATCACAAGTCTGAAGCCAGCCTCAGCAATTTAGTGAGACCTTGTCTCAAAATAAAAAAATAAAACGGGCTGGGGACATGGCTCAGTGATTAAGCGCCCCTGAGTTCAATCCTTGGTACCAAAAAAAAAAAAAAAAAGTTAAATCCCATTCAGTCAGTCTTGATATATTTTATTATTATTATCTCTTAGTTTTCTAAGGCATTTTATGGTCTGGAAAAAGTTCTTATCATCTCTGTTTCCAGCTGAACTTCACAATTATACTGTGAAGCGCATAAAGCAGAAACCATCACACTCCATTCTAGAAGGGTCCCAGACTCAGGGCTCATCACTCTCTCTGCTCTGCCAGGCTGGTACATTTGACTGCTGACCTGGTTGCAGACTCTCACTTGTTTGTACCTAGATAATCATTTAAGCATATTGACATAATTATGTTTACACAGTGTAACACTTTTGTCCTACAAAGGAGCTCAAGAAAAAGAAAGTTATATGACAGAAGGAAGAAGAGACTGGAGAAGGTAGGCTATATAACAAATGTATTTAGGCAAAGCATTTTAAAATAAAAAACTTCTTTGCACCTTCATTTACAGAGCAAACTAATTCATAATAAAATGTCTCCTTTACTGATTCCAAGCAATATAATTCAATACTTGCCCAGTTTTTCAGAGAAAGATCTATACCCTATACATCAGGAAATGCTTTTAGAGATCAAAAAGATAATGGAAACTAAGGCTCAGGGCTTTTGTTTTCCCTTACAGTAAACCTAACTGCATCTTCATAAATAATGGAAACCTCAGCTTTCTTACCTGTTTTATCCAACATTTACCATATACCATTATATGGAAAGCATTGCTGAGTTTATCAGGGAATACATAGGGAAGTGAGGCAGGCCTTGCCCTGGATCTGTGGAAAGTACAAGCATAATTTCCAAACAGGCAAAGCACAGGGATAGTTGTAAAGAACATCTAGTGAAATAACTTGGGCAGAAATGGTTTCAAAAAGAAACCATCTGATTCCTGAAAAATGGGGAAGGTATCACACAATGGAAGGAGAGGGCACTTCTGATTGAAAGAAGGTTAAGACATGTTGAATTAAGTTTGTTTGTAGAAATTGAGCATTCTGGGATCAAATTCAAAATGCCAAAGCTACATATGTAAATAAAGGCAAAAGCATCCACTTCTCTTGTTTTAAAACTGAAGCTCCCTCTAGTCACACTGCCAAGTAGAAGTAAGAAACAAGAGGGCAGCAGGGTGATCTGCCTCAGGGGAGGGGGGGATACCTTTGCCTGGAGATGCCTTCCTGGAATGCCAGTACAGTCATGGGGAATGAGGTGGGGTGGGGGGATCCTCTCTTCCTCTCTCCAGGGAGCAAAGACCAACTGCTGGTTATCGCTAGCATCTCTGTATCACAGTCAAGTCTCAGCAAGAGTGGATGAGTCTGTTTCCCACCATATGCTTTGGAGCTACCACTATAAACCTAAGAAAGTCCTTCTTCAGAGCACACCTGTGTCCTACTGGTCCCAATCCTATTCACCCTGATATCCCAGCTAAGCAATAAAGGTAGTTCCTTCATAATCCTCCATGGGACTTGGGCCTAAGCCTTCCTATTCCAGGACCACAGGCCCCCGAGTGAGGGCACTGTCACCAGCTCCAGGGCTCAGCAAGGGCAATAACAACCCTTCCTGAAGATTCTAGTTTTTCACCCCACCACAGAAAGGCCACGAAAGGTATAGCGCCCGGGTTTCACACTCAGGACCATCTAAGCACATACTAGCTAGTGCAGACGAGGGCAGGACCTGGCCGGAACTCAGGCCAACTCCAGCGAGTAAACCAGGCCGCGGCCCCACTACGGATGAGGGATGAGCGGCGCGGGAGTCAGTGTCAATGCTTGGGGAGAAGGCGGATTTGGCTGCAGCCAGCTCAGAGCACGTGCCCAGGTTTGCCAGCCTCCTGGGCGGAAAAAGTCTACTCCCTCTGGCTCCGCAGCTATGGCACCGGCACTGGGCGTCTGGGACGAAGCGGGTAGGGCCTGTAAGAGGTCCCAACTCGACAATGGATCCCAAACCCACTCCAGACTCTGCCTCCTGCGACCCCTGCGAGCACTCACCATTGTGGTTGACCCAGGTTGGCTTCAAGAGCTTCATTGTTCGGCTGCCGCCGGGCTGAGGCGAGAGCCGCGTCCCTCAGCGCGCCCGGGCCATGGAGCCACCGCCGTAGTTTCCTCCCGCGCCGCCCACCCTCCGGCCGCCGCCCGCCTCGCACCCTCAGCGCCGCCGCGCCATAGCCGGCCCGCGCCCCCCGCCGCCGCCACTGCCGCCCCCCGCGCCTGGCCGCCGCCGCCGCCACCACAGCCGCATCCCCTGCGCCGCTCCTCCTCCCGCGGCTCCCGGGCAACGCCGGAAGTCACGGCGCGCACCTGCCAAATCGCCCCGGCGGGAAACCGCTCCCCACGCGGACAGGGCCGACCGGGCTCTATGGCAGGCAAGGGCAGCTTAAGGCGAGCCGGCTCGGCTTTGGGTCAAGCGTGATGCTGTCGCTGACCAAGGGCGGGGCGGCCCGGGCAGCAGTGGCCCAGCAGAGCCTAGAGTTGCAACCCGGCCGGCCTGGCGATCCAGAGAGCTAGGCTGAGCCTGAGTGTTCTAGATAGCTTGTCACCAGGTCTCCCCGGCTGGTTCCGAGTTCGACTAATTAGATTATGTTATTCATCAACACTATTCGCCCAGGCGCTATTGGGCATCTAGCGAGAGCCAGTCCCCGTGCAGGCGCTGGGATGCAACCACCTGACGGCCGCAGCCGGGAATTCGAACGAATGCGAGAAACCACCCAGTTCCGGGGAGGGTGGCGGGAGAGGCCCAGGAAGGCGCGTTTATTGGAAGATCGGGATCATTTTCAAAGACGCGGACATTTGGACCGGGTAGAGCAGAGTGACGCCCTCTCGGCCATTCTGGCTGCCCAGGGGGACCAGACCTTCGCTGGGACACACGCCAAACATCCTAAGCAGCGGGCGGCCGTTATTAGGCCTGCCGTAGGGGCGGGCTCACAGCCGTGCAAAAAAGCGGAAGGAAGGACCCCACGCACCGCGAAGTGAAAGACGCCCGCAGCGTGCGGCCCGCTCTAGGGACGCTGTGGGCGGGGCTGCGTCGGGGCGGGGCCAGGCTCGAGCCCAGTCTCCAGAGGCCCGAACGGTGAAGTGCCCTGCAGTGAGCTTACTGGACCTCTGTCCTTGGCTCAGCCGGCCGGACAGCCAAGGTGGGGGGCGCCCGGAAGCTGCCCGCCAGTCGGCAGCAAAACAAGCCATGGCGGCTGTGGCGCGGCTATGTGGGATGCAAGCTCTGCGTCCTCTAAGCCGGTGAGTTTGGGCTCTGGCATGGTAACGGGGCGCTCTGGGCATGTGCGGGATCTCGGCAGCAGGGATTTCTGCGCTCCCTCCCTACCTCCCTTGTCCACGGATATGTCAGGGATGAGTCAGCTGATCATGTCTGTAGTGAAGCCGGAGATTTTGAAAAATCCCCAGATTGACCTATTTGTAATATCTAGTATTTTTTAAAAAGCTCCAGGTTTAGCAGATGCAAGTTTTGTGCGTGTGCGCATTTTCTTTTCCTGTGCAGCGGGGAAAAAATTAGATATTTATACATACCTTGTCTCCTTCAGGCTTTCTTGGAAGACACAGGTCAGAGACACCCACCAGAGAGCTTCATTGTTGTCCTTCTGGGAACTCATTCCCATGAGGTAAAATTCAACCGCGGCCGGGACCTCTTTGGGGGTGTGGGCAAAAACAGATGTGCATGTGACCAGAATAAAGTAAGACTGCTCCACATTTGGCTTGCAAAATTCACTACACAGCTTTTCATAGTTAAATTTGGGCAGCTGCCTGTCAACAGACTCTGTCCCATATTTTGCTATTGATAATTTTTAAAAAATTAATTGTAAAAGTATTTTGAATAAATATCAATTAGCCAAAGGCACAGCTTGTTTGTACATGGGCCTTCCTCTCCTACTCATTCTGACTCCCTGGGTACCAGGAGGTTCGAAGCCTAAAGGTATTTCCATCTTGGACTCTCTTAGGCCCTATCCAGAGACTTTATTCAGTTTTCCCCCCTTTGGTACTGGTGATTAAATCTGGGGATGCTTTACACTGAGCTGCCTCCCCATTTTTATTTTCTATTTTGAGAGAGGGACTTGCTAAGTTGCCCACTGGGATTACAGGCCTGCCCCACAGCACCTGGCTAGGATTTGGTTATTTTTAATAGTAAGTTATGACTGGAAGATGTGTTCCTAATAACAGACTTTTGCCAAAGCTCAAAGATGGGAATAGTGTTAAGAAATGCTCTGGCTGGGGATGTGGCTGAAGCGGTAGCGTGCCGCCTGGCACGCGTGGGGGGCTGGGTTCCATCCTCAACACCACATAAAAATAAAAAATAAAGATATTGTGTCCACCTAAAACTAAAAAATAAATATTAAAAAAAAAGAAATACTGACAAGTGAATATACCAGTCACTTTTACTATGTTGTCTTTTCTTAGTCCTAAAGTATTTTTTTAAGAGAGAGAGAGAATTTTTAGTATTTTTTTATTTTTAGTTTTCAGCGGACACAACATCTTTATTTGTATGTGGTGCTGAGGATTGAACCCAGCGCTGTGCGCATGCCAGGTGATTGCCATACGGCTTGAGCCACATCTTCCAGCCTCCCTAAAGTATTTTAATAAATCATAAATCCATTTAAAATGTAAATAATGAGCTTCTATCAGTTTGGTATTTTCACTTTTCAGTGCAGTCCTACAGCACACTGGAATCCTAAGATTAAAAATGAACACTTCACTTTAGTTTATTCCTGATACCCAACCATGATTTCATACCTATTCCTGGCACCCATATCTGTTCTCACAAGGACACCGGGATGGAACTGCCACTCTGTGCCACCCAGTTCATAGGATAAGAAACATGCAAAACTTTTTTTCCCCAGAGTACAAATATGAGGCACTTCACTTAGCATTGTATCTCTCATGAGATGGATGAGGAAAACATTTAACATTTGCTTTTTATTCACTAGAGCAGAACCTCTGCGAAAGAAGAAGAAGGTAGATCCCAAAAAAGATCAAGCAGCAAAAGACCGTTTGAAAAAGAGGATCCGAAAACTGGAAAAGGCTAGCCAAGAGTTAATTCCTATTGAAGATTTTATTACCCCTGTGAGGTTCTTGGATAAGTCAAGGTAAGGGTTCTCCTCTGGACTTAAAGTCCTGGGGGGTTGGGGAAGGAGTTCCATTAACTTCATTTTGAAGTTCATGCCTGTCATCAGAATGGGTCAGTATGTTTGAGTCAAGTTGGCCCTTTTTGAGCGCTTATTTCCTTGATTGTGCCTTTTGGGAATTGGAGAACACTTCTCTGATTGGTGCCCTTCTATGGCTAAGGATGGGAAAGTAAATCAAACAATTGTTTGATAAATCCAGTGCAGATGCTCAAACAAATTTGCATCAGTACTAATGCAAGATTCATGTTTTTTTTTTTCCCCTTGAAGAATATTGGCTGTGATTTGTGACGTGGGCCTTGGGTCTGCAGCCCTTGCCCCATCCCCACAATAGAAAACCCTCAGCTTTTTGTTTATCATGCAAATGCTCAGTAGTTGGTATATGTTGCAACTGTGTTGTATGCAGGGTTTGCAGCTTTTGCTGCTTTCTTGAAAAGTGTGCACAATTCATAGAGCAGCACCTTGCCATGCAAGTGGAAAATAGCAGGTGTCACAGAGCTGTATTAAGACTCTCCCTGGGATTTTGGCTTTCATTTCACTTTTCTCTAGTAACATCACTCACCAAAGGGTGTTGCCTGGGGCTGAGAAAGTAATACCAGTTTTCTCAAGAGTATACAAAAAACTTCTTTGGCTTCTAGCATCCATTGCAGCTGCCACCACATTCAATATTACACTTCTTCCTTTAACTTTTCTAATTCCTGTCTGTGCCTAGCCAGGGGGATGATTGGGTCATGTGCAGTTACACAGACTGCCTTGCCGATGAAGTCAGTACTTCCCAGCCTCACACTTTTGAACTTGTGCATTCACAGACAACGGCCTCAGGTGGAGCTTCCCTTTGAGGAAAGTGAGCGGAGAGCTCTGCTTCTGAAGAGGTGGTCCCTATACAAGCAGCAAGAGCATCAGATGGAGAGGGATGCCATCAGAGCTATGCTAGAGGCCCAGCAAGAAGCTCTACAGGAATTGAAACTTGAGTCCCTAGAGCTCTACACTGAGGCCATCAAGCGAAACCTCAGCCTGTTCCCCTTTGAGAGGGAAGGGCCGAATTACACACCACCAATCTCTAGCTACCAGCCCCCTGAAGGCAGGTACAATGACATCACCAAGATATACACACAGGTAGAATTCAAGAGATAAAGCTCAACACAGCTGTTCTTAAACCAATCTGCCTCTAGGAGTATGAGGGCTGATAGCTCTTTTCCACAAGATTGAACATGCTGGTAATAAATAAAAATTTAATCAAAAGCCTCTGTCAAAATTAATTCATCTGATGGATGGGAGTGAGAGATACTGCTATGCCAGGTACTGGAAAGAAGATGACAAAGACATCAACCTCTACCTTCCAGTGGGAAAAAAATATGAGTAAAAAGGAAGATTCCAACTGGGCATAGTGACTCAGGCCTTTAATCCCAGGGACTTTAATCCCAATACTAGAGGGCAAAAAAAAAAAAAAAGACAATTTTATAGTCAAAATACCACTTGCAGAAGCACAAAGTAACCCAGAGGTGTGGAGGTGAAGGATATATAGGATTTTGTTAACTGGAAAAGTACACCAGATGTAGGATCTTCACAGTAGGACAGACAGGAGAGCCAACTTTTGAGTTTTTTTTATTTTGGGGGTGGGGGGTAGGTGTGTACTGGTTTGCACTCTATTATGGAGCCATATCTCCAGCCTTTTTTTTTTTTTTAATTTAGAGACAGGATCTAAGTTGCACTGGTAGCCTTGAACTTGCTGACCTGCCTCAGCCTCCCAAATTCTGAAGATTTCAGATGTGTACCACTGTGCCCAGCCACCTTTAGGGTTTTAAGTTGGGGAGCGAAGCTGTAGAAGGTAGAGCAAACCAGGGACACCTTAGTTAAAGCTGCTCTGTCCTTCAAGAGATGTGAGGCCATGACACATTAGCTAAAGCTCCTGTGCCCTATAAAAATATGTGAGGCTAGCTGAAGCCAAGGGCTCACAGCATTATTATTCACTATTACTGATCTGGAATGGTGAATAAGTTAGCTTGGACTGCCATAATAAAATACCACAAACTGGGTGGCTTAAACTACAAATGCTTATTTTCTCAACCGTTCTAGAACCTAGAAATCCTAAGATCATATAAGTAGAATCATAAGTGTTCGTCTTTTGTGACTGATTTACTTCACTAAGCATAATGTCCTAGAGGTTCATCTGTGTTGTAGCATGCGTCAAAATTTGTTTTTTCGTTCTTTTTAAGACTGAATTAATATTCCATTTTATGGATGTACCAAATTTTGATCATCCATTCTTCTGTTGATCAACCCTTGGGTTGCTTTCACATTTGATTTTTAAAAATTTATTTGTGGAACTAGGGATTGATCACAAGGGTGCTTTACCACTGAGCTACATCCCCAGTCCTTTTTTATTTTATTTTTTGGTACCAGGAACTGAACCCAGGGGCACTTAACCACTGAGCCATATCCCCAGCCCCTTTTTATATTAGAGATAGGGACTCACTGAGTTGCTTAGGGCCTCACTAAGTTGCTGAGGCTAGTTTTGAACTCACCATCCTCCTGCCTCAGCTCCTAAACTGCTGGGATTACAGGCATGCTACATTACTCCCAACTCTTTTTATTTCTGGAGACAGACTCTCCCTAAGTTGCTGAGGCTGGCCTCAAACTTGCATTCCTCCTGTATCAGCTTCCTGCATCACTAGGATTACCAGAGTGCATCACTGTGTTTGACAGCTTCCATATTTTAGCTATAAAGAATAATGCTGCTATGCTATCTCTTTTGAGACTCAGCTTTCAAGTCTTATGGGTGTATACCCAGAAGTGGAACCACTGGACTCTTTGATAATTCTATGTCTAATATTTTGTGGAAACCCATACTGCTTTCCTTTGAGGCTGAGCAATTGTACATTCCCTCCACATAGTGCGCCAGAGCTCACTGACACTTAATTGTTTTTTGTTTTTAACAGTAGCCATCCTACATTTCTTAATGAATAATGGCGTTGAACATCTTTTCAGGTGTTTATTTTCCATTTGTACATTTTCTTTGGAGAGACATCCGTTCAAGTCCTTTGTCCATTTTTGAATTATTTTTCACATTCAGCTTTATATATTCGATTAATTCCTTATCAAATATATGATTTGTAACTATTTTCTCCCATTCTGTGTGTTGCCTTTTTACTTTGTGATTTTTTTTTTTAAAGGGGGGAGAATCCTTGCACTCGCTAGGCAAGCACTGAACTACATAGCTCCCTCCAGCCTTTTTATGGGTGCCAGGGTTTGAATTGAGGGTGCTTAACTACTGAGCCACATCCCCAACTCTATTTTGTATTTTATTGAGACACAGGATCTCACAGAGTTACTTAACACTTCACCTTTGCTGAGGCTAGCTTTGAACCTCCAATCCTCCTGCCTTAGCCTCTGAGCGGCTGGTATTATAGGCATGTGCCACCACACCCAGCTCTTACTAAGTTGCAGAGGCTAGCTTTGAACCTGTGATCCTCCTGCCTCAGCCTCCTAAACTGCTGGGATTATAGGTGTGTGCCACCACACCAGGCTCCAGCCCATTTTATTTTGAGACAGATTCTCACCGAATTGCCAGGGGTGGTCCCAAACTTGCAATCTTCTTGTCTCAGCCTCTCAAGTTCCTCAGATTACTGGTGTCCACCAACTGAGTTAACTTTTAATAAGATCCAGCTTTATTCAATACGGATCAGTTTTGCCAGTCCTTTCCCT